GCTCCCCGGCCCGCAGCTCTGCTCCTACTCCTCTTTATCCTCCCCTCATCCCCAGGTCCGAAGCGAAGGCGGGACGGACGGACCTGATTTTCCTCATCCGGTTCCGGCACTGCTGCCTGCTCCGGAACCAGCGCTGCCTCCTGGCATACCTGTGAGTCCCCTGGCCTCATCCCTGCCGGCACAGCGTCCCCAGGGACAGGGTGGCGGGTCTCTCGGGCCGGGCAGGTGGCTTCTCCACGAGCAGCAAGGCAGCTCTGGAGCTGGTTCTCCTTGTGTTCGTTGCTGGTATCGTGGGAGCAAGATTCTGCTTCCTCTTGCTCTTTGAAAGTTCAGATTAGTGGATGCCACTGTGGCCTGGGGATGTTGCCAACACTCGCCTCAGCAGAGGTGTTGGGTTTGCTCCATTTCTTCCCCTAGGTATGACCGGCTGCTACGGATCCGAGCACTGAGGTGGGAGTATGGCAGCATTCTGCCCAACACCATCCAGTTCCACATGTCAGCTGAGGAAGTGAGTCAGCCTCATTTCAAACTTTTCCCCCCTTCCCACCTATTCCTCCTGATGGATTATTTAGTGCAATCAAAATAGGGTAGTCTTCCCCCCACTATAAACATGACATTTAACACGTCTTTCTGTAAATTCTTACTCGTGTGTATTCATTGTCTGTGGGTACAACCCTGTTCATGCTCGCAGGTGGAGTGGTTCAATCGGTACAAAAAGTCTCTGGCTACCTACATGAGGTCAGTAGGAGGAGAGGAGGGGCTGGACCTCACACAGGACATCAAACCTCCTAAAAGCCTGTACATTGAAGTAAGTAAGTGCAAGATTTCTGGTTTCTATCCATGAATAAACATTTCCATGACTATCTCTTTTTAAGCGTTTCATCCCCATCCCAAATCAGTTCATCAAGCAAGACCTTTCAGAGTCCCAAAGCTTTCACAGGTTTCTGTGTTTTACTCTGCCTGCCAGCATTTTACTCCTTCTGCTGAGAGCACAAAGCATGTTGAGAGATGGCACTTCTGGTCTGCAGGGAGTTGTGGTGGGGCGAGTTATCCAATAAAGAGGTTTTTGCAGCAGCTTTAACTAGACCAGCTAGAAAACATGTTCCCATACCAAGGACTGTCACTGGAGGGGGTGGTTGGTATTTTTCATTGAACTCTGACAGAGCTGTGTTCCCCCTTTGCAGGTGAGGTGTTTAAGAGACCATGGGGAGTTTGAGATCGATGATGGCACTACCATCCTGTTGAAGAAGAACAGCCAGGTACCTGTGGCAGGGGTGTGGTCTGTTCCCTTCCTTCCCTTTCACTCCCATGACATCCCCCTGGCCTTGCAGCATGTCCCAGTCCCTGCACACACAGCTCCTTGTGCTTCCTGCATGGTCCAGAGTGCAGCTCTGCCTATCTGGTACCATGAGGCACTGGATGTACAGCACAACAAACAGAGCTGGTTGTGTGCAGCAACAAATCCAACAAATCCATGGAGGCTTTTTCTGTGTTTGTGTGCAGCACTTTTTACCCCGCTGGAAATGTGAGCAGTTGATCAGACAAGGAATCCTGGAGCATGTTCTGTCCTGAGTGTGCAGGACAGGAGGGACAGCTCTTAGTGACCTGCCCACGATGGGGACTGAGCTCTGGTGTGTGCAGGACTTCAGAGACCTCAGTATTTCTGCAGTGGCATTCTCCCACTGCTAACAGCCTTTGATGCCTTAAAACCACAGGTCTTCATGAGCAAAGGGTGCATGCTGGTAACACAGCAATCCTGGGAATCCAGAGAGTGGGGGGACATAATCCAAGCCCCACAGCTACACCCAGGGTTTGTGATTGCATTTTTGTTTGGGGTAGTTCTTTGTTCATACTGTGCATGTAAGACACCAACTGGCTGGGCTCTAGAAGCCAGGAGAACTCCATGGTTGCAAAATAAAGAATTCCTTCAGTCTCTTGGGTTTTTAAGAGTTAATGTGGTGTTCATTCAGCACTGATCTGGCTCTCCAGCCAAACCCATCCTGACCCTGCAGTGTGATGGTTGTTTAAGTATCTCAGTGGAGCTGCTCCTCCAAGTGTCAGATAAGGCTGCACAAGGTTCTTCCCAGGATCACACATGAAACCTTGTCCCCATCAGAGACCCATAAATGTTGTTTCCTGAGGTGCTGTGTGAATGAATCATCATTGCAGTCTGGACTGTGGGCCTGAGTTTTTCCCAGTGTCTCTGTTCCTGTGAAGAATCTCTTATCCCAGAGCACTGGTCTGGCTGGGCATATGGGCTAGTTGGAGTAGGGGTGGGAAAGGGAGCAGAGGGTTTTAAGGATTCTGGGTAGCACAAAACCAGAACAAGGCTGAAGAGTTGCTTTCCCTGCTCAGCTCTTGCACTGTGTCTGGGAAAACACTTGCAAAAACATCAGCCCTAGGTGAGACTGGAGGTTTGCTTAGCCCCCATCTCAGGCTGGAGCTGAAAAAGCAAACAGCTGGGGAAGAATGCAGGAACAGGATAAATGCCTGGGGCATTACAGCATTGCTCTGTCCTGCTCACTGCAGAGACAACAGTCTCGTTGGGTTTGGATCCTAGGCTCAGGCTGTAGGAGGAGCTATTGGCAATAAATGTTCAGCAGCAGTTGGGGAAGGTGACTGAAATACAGAGCAGACTGGGAAGAGCAGGAGGTGCTGTAACATTACACATTTTTTAATGCCACAACTCAGCTTTCCTGCTTGGAGTGACCAAGCACAGGGTCCTTGCAAGCCTTTCTGCCCTGGCTTTTGAGATGTAACTGTGGCTCCAACATCAGCCTTCTGCAGAGAGGGAGCACCTGCACCAGCACTTAACTGCCAAAGAAAATCCTGTGAGCTGGCTGTCCCGAGACAGACATGACATAACAGCACACTGCCACTGGGAAAGGCACCAAGGCTGCTGCTTTCAGCTGGAAATTCAGCTATCCACAAGACCAGTTTCCTCAAAGGACTCTAGCTCCCCATCTGCTATTTTCTGCACAGGAAAATCCTGGCAAGACCAGAGAGGACAAGGCTGATTTCCCAACCCAGCCATATCCCATTCTGCACCTGATCAGCCCCAGCCAGGAGCAGGGGCTGCCACTGCAGATGTTCCATCACCCACTCAGAGATGCTGGTGTGATTTTTCCAATAAGCTGCTTCAGAGCTGAGGCTTGTTCCTCCAACAGCTGGTTCTTCTCCTCCATGCTCTTCTGCTTCAGCTCAGCAGCCTGCAGGGCCATTGCAAACCTCCTGTTCTCTCCACGGAGCTCTTCAATCAACAGTTTGTTCCTGGAGAGTTGGGCCTAAAGCAGGGACAGGAGGCTTCAGGTTCAGCATCCCAGGCAGGGATAGCAGATGGGCAGGGACACAGCACCAGCCCCTCTGCACTCACCTGGGCATCTCTGAGCTGAGCTGCCCTCTCTGCCAGCACAGCTTCAGCACTCCTCAGACTCTGCTCCAGCCCCTCTGCCTGCTCCACAGCTGCCTGCAGCAGCTGCTCCTGTTCCTCCTGCAGAGGGAAACAAAGTCTGTGTGTGGGTTGTCCCAGCACTGTCCTGGCCTCTGGCAGCCCTGGACTGTACATTTCCCCAAGGCCCTGTTCATGGACCCTCATGCTCCTCAGGCAGAGCAGGGGGTTTATCAGAGGTGCAGGATGCAAAGAGCAGTGGGACAGAGGTCTAGAGCAGTACAGCCTTCCCTGGGTCTGCACCCAACCAGTTTAAGACAAGGCACAGATTTTCCAGCAGATTTTCTATAAAAAACAAGCCATTGGCCTCCCCTCTCCCAGCCCTATCCAGGAAAGCTAAGGGAGAGACAAAGGCTCCTTGTGCCTGCTCATTATCATTCCTTAGGTTATAATTTGTCCTATCTTTGCCCAGAAGACAAACTCACAAAACCCCAACACCTGGTTGCTCAGTGCCCTGGAGATAAATCCACCTGTCTGAGTGCAGGCTGGTGACTGGAGGATTCATGAAGAATTAAAGTTGCAGCTGAATTTGAAGCTAAGTGCATTTTCCTTGTGGGTTCTTTATATCTACCATCTTCCACACAAACCTCTGGTGCCTTCAATCACAGCTGCCTTCCAGTGTTCCCTTCACAGTACCCCTGACTGAGCTCCTGCAATTCCCTGCTTACCTGGATCCTGACCAGCTGCCTGCATGTCTGCTCAGCCTGCAGCTGGAGGCTTTCCTGGAGCTGCTGAGTCTTGCACTGTTCCTCTCTCAGGGTGCTTTGCAGCTGCTCAAACTGCTTCTTTGGCACCATGTTGTTTATCTGGGCCTTGGCCTGCTGCAACTGCAGAGTGTGCTGGGCCTGGGCCAGGCTCAGGTTGGCTTTGGCTTCCAAAAGCTGTAACACACAAAGGTTGACAGCTGGTTACAGCTTTGAGCCCACAACAGGACAGGCCCAGGCTGTGTTTTGGGGGAGAGGAGAGGTCAGACAGTGCCCTCAGCCCTCACCCCAGCGTGGGCACAGCAGAGCTGCAGCACCATGGCAGTGGTGCTCAGTGGGCAGCCTGCAAAGCAAGGGAGTGAGAGCACTGAGAGCTGCAGGAGGAGACACAGAGAGCCCTTGCTGAGAGATGCTCCCCTTGCTGAGCAGTGAGGAGCAGGAGGATTCTCTGGGAGGGAGTCCCAGGACCAAGGGCCACAAGAGCAAGAGACAGAGGGGGCTGCTTACTTGGGTTCTTGGATACATCCCAGGCTAGCTGTCCTGTACATGTCCTCTGCTTCCTGTCACCAGCAAAGGGCAAAACTGGTAATGGGAAGCAGATGTGGTCCAACCTTGGGATGCTGGCATGGGTAAGCTGTACTTTGGAAAGCCAGTCCCCAGGGCAGAATGCAGGAGAGGAATATTAACACATTGGAAGGCTTCTCACATTAGCTTTCCTCCCTCTGTCCTGGTGATCCACCTTACTCTGCTGTGACCACCTCATTTCCCATCCCTCACCAAGCCCTGCCTGGCTGCTATCATCCCTTCCCAACCCTTATCCAATCCTGCCACTGCTCCAGCTCCTCTGTCAGCTGAGCCATGGGGAACCACAGCTCCTGGCACCCCTGTGGGAGCCACCTCCCCTCTGGCCAGCCAGCCTGCCCAGGACAAGGACTGGGGGGCATCACAGGACAAGCAAGCAGGGAGCTCTCCCCAGCTGCACCTGAACTGCATTCAGCCATAGCTGAGCAGGAGGGAGAATCTTTTCTCCCCCACAGAGAGGAAGAGGACAACTTTTTTCTGAAAAGTTGGACACCCTCCCTTCTGAGGAAGGTGTCAAGCACAGCCCCAGGCAGGACAAAACCAACATCACAGAGCCCACTCAGCAGCCTGCCACTGAATGAAGGACACTCACCTTTTCCTGTGAGGCCTGCAGCTGCTGTTGGAGCAGCTCCATCTCCATCCAGCATGCTGCATGCCTCTGGTGGTGCTCCAGCCTGGCAGCAATTTCTGCCCCTCGTAGCCACTCAGCCTCCAGAACGCTCTGGCTGTGCAGCTGGGCAGTGCCAGGGCCAGCACCTTCACCAGCCTTGTGCTCAGGGGGCTCACAGCCCAGCTGAGGCCTCTTGACATCCCGGTGAGAGAGCCCCTCCTTGCCCTCATCACTCTGGAAAAGGTGGAGAAAAGAAACAACAAATCATGCACAGGAGGCTTGGGGTGGGAACACAGGCAACAAAGAGTGACTGAGCCATGTGGGTGTGAGACTGGGAGGGAGAGGAAGCTCAGGGAGAAAGACTGAAAGTAGTGAAAGTCATTAAAGACTTTCCCCTTCTGTAAGACTTTCAATGTCACACAAGTTTTCACAGCTCTACAGGTAATAAGATGAAGCTGGTTCTTCAAAGGAAGACTGGGTTTGAATGTTTGAAACAAACATTTTTGCTCTCCTCTATGAACTTGTGCAGTTTTTGCCCTTCTAAATCCTTCAGCCAAGAGCCTGCCAGTTAGGGTTGATGGCTTCCTACCAATGCTGTTAACTGCTATTTCAGCCATCTCCCCCAGCTTCTCTCTACCCAGCTCAGTCCCATTTTTCCTTCTGGGAAGAGGGATAGGATCAGCCTCAGAGCAGAGAGCAGCAAAGCACAGCCCCCAGAGGACAGCCTGGCTCTGGGTTTGGCCTGCAAGAGGAAGTACAGCCAAGCCAAAACAGGTATGGCCCTGAATCAATGCAGGAGTGAGTCAGGTGCCTCTGCCCCAGCAGGTGACTCCGCTCAGCCCAAAGTTCTACAAAGCTGTCAGAGACCTAAAATCCAAGGAATGAAGAACAATGGGAGGGACAGTTTAGCAGACTGGGATCATCCACCCCAGAAACCTGTCTCTCCCCAGATTTATGGCTCAGTGGGTGACCCCAGTACCTATCTAAAGCTTCCTAAGGAAGAAATCCATCCCATGTTAACTCTTCAGCAAGCTGTTCTCCAACAGCCAGCACAGGAGAGACAACAGAGTGAGAAAACCATGCACAAGCCCCATTTGGGGCTGGCATTCTGTGCTGGCTCCCTGATCTTTTCCAATTTGGTTTGCAATGACAGCTAAGGACTAAGGAAAGCTGAGAAAAAACCTTCCCATAACTCAGGCAAAACATGTAGGGACAAGCAAGAGACAAGAGGAGAGAAGGAGCAGGTCTCCAAGGGAAGGAAAATAAAGAGGAATAAGGACAAAGAGCATCAGACTGAATTGATGTGGCTTCCAGCTGGCAAAAATGATTTGGCAGTCCTGTGGATACGAAGTGATTTGACTCATCCAGACACACCAAGACTTCATTACAGGGTGACAGGTGGTGAGGCCAACCCCTCAACTGCAATAAAGCCAGGTCTGGAGAAATCAGCTTGTTTGTGAGGCCTCTGTGATTTCACAGGGCTGGACACAAAGCTGTGACTCCAAATCCAAGGTGGCCTCATTGTCCTTGCACTTCTGTGGGTACTCCCAGTCTCCCAGGAGGCCATGAATACTGGCACTTGTGGGAATGAAGCTTAGTCCTGTGTTGGACAGTCCTATCCAACAACTGCTGCTACACACCAGAGCCATACAGGACCCAAATTCCCCAGGGGAAGGTGCAGGACAACAGACCATCCATCCTGGCAGGGAGCACAGCACTGCAGTTTGTGGCAGTGCCTGTGGATGTACAGGAGCTGTGTGAGGAAGTTCTTCCTCTCTCCTTGATGCACAAGGACCAGTCCAAGGGCTATGTGGTGTTTGCTCACCTCAGTGCAGCTACTGTTGGGAATTCTACATTGGATTCACATGCTGTGCTTCCTGTGGCATCTCCAGCATCCATGTCCAAGGCAGAGGAGGTGAGTGTGCAATCAGCCACAGCCACAGGAGCACATCCCAGCTCCCTGACCACACTCCCACAGTCAGTAAAAGACATAATATAGCTTTTGTCTACATGTGCATAATATTGCTTTTGTCTACATGTGCTCAGTCATATGTATTAATTGGAAGTATCCTAGTTCATAGTCCTCTTCATGAGAGCAGGAGAACAAAGCTGCTGCTGGAACCTCCAAGAGAACATAGCTGCTGTTACAGTGTTCAGCAGCCTTGTGTCTCACAAAGCATCTGCTTTTTCTTTGCAGCAGCATGTTAGATCTTCAAACTACCTTTGTACTCAAACCTGACACTCTCTTGAGCTCTGGGTTCATTTTCCAAGTTCTGCACGATATCTTTGAGCTGCATCAGCTCGTTTCAACCTGTTCCTCTTCAGCTCTGTATTGACAGCCTGAATGTCAGGTTTCCTCCTATGCTGTTACACCTCTGTCTCCCAGAGATTTTTTCCTTCTCTTCTTGCCCTGCAGGTCAGGTCTATGTTCTGAGATGTCTGCTCTTTGAAGACATTTAACTCTGCCTCCTTCCCAAGCACATCCCCTTGTCTATCAAGATTCCATTTCTCCCTGACAAATGCTTTCCACTTTGCCTCCAGCTGCTAGATTGAGCAGGCCATTTGTTACAACAAACATCTGCACTGTTTGCACTGGTGTGTCCATCATACAATTGCTCATTTCTTCTCTGTTCCTTCAGTGTTGAAATTGCAGTAGAAGATTTTGGTCTGCCTGCTCACCTGAGTCTTAGAGGATCAGCTCATTTTTCCCCAGAGGACAGCTCTCCAGACACCTTGTCCCTTCCAACAGCAGTGCCCTCAGCTTCACTCTCTCTGCATTACTCCCATTTCATCCTGGTGCCTTTTTAATCTTTTCATACCCAACAGCCACCATTTTTCACATCTTGGCATTAAACTTTTCTTACAACTTGAGCTGCCTCTGCTTCCACAGAGACTTGGTTTTTTTCCTTCTGCTTCCACTGCTGCCTCTCATGGGTGCCCTGCTGTTGAAGGCCTCACCTTACTTTATTGTTGGGAAATCACCTCCTCTCACACCAGTGCTGCTGCAATGAAGCCTTACAGCCATCCTCATGCTGGCATTCGCTCCATGACAGCTCTTGCTATGCTCAGCC